AAACCAAGACCCCCATCTACCCTGTGTCTTAGGTTCTTCCGAGTAGGACAAGGCCCCGATACCAACCCCTAGATTTCAAGCCTACTTTCAAGAACGGGTTCCACAATATGATTTTTTGCTCCATAACTGACACAACTGGCGTCCAGTTCTCTACCACAAAAATACTTCCAAAGAACAATCCCGTCACCTCAAGGTCCTTTTCAACTTAAGCTACATTCTAAACCGCTAAATGTCAATTTTTTCCTCACTTTCGTTGTAAATGGATGTGCAAGTAAAATTTATAACTAACCTTGCTAAGAAATCTGGGGCTCAGTTGTATTCAAGTTAGCTCTGATGTTGTTTTGTAAGAGTTTTTCACATTCTTTTAATGGCATTTGAACCTTTCTAATGAGTTTTTTTTTCATTTTTCGGCACTGTGGCGGGAACTACATGACGCTTGAGCACTTCACCTATAGTTTATAACATTGATTTAAAAAATGGATCGGTATCTCAGATCGGGCACTTCAAAAACCCATCCGGATCAGTGAATTGGCTATCTGGATCGAAAATCAGCTGATTCGGTCGGATTAAGCTCTAAAAAAATCCAAAAAAATTATTAAAATTAATTATAAATATTGTCTTTTAGGAATCCAATAAGAAATGAGGGCACTCCATTGTTAACTTTCACTTTTTTCATCAATTTGTGAGTATTGATATGTTTTTTCTCTGTAGAAACTTATGTTAATCATTAAATCTACATCACACATAAGAAAAATCATATAATTATCATGGATAAAATATATAATCATACTTGGGCTACTATAAAGAGTAGATTTAGAGTAGATTTAATCGATAAAAAATGGCCATCAAAATCTTAAATTGGCAGAAAGCCCTAATCCCTTAAAAAAACCTAAATTATTAAACTAACTAACTATAATCCAAATTTATTACAACCTAACTAACTATAATGTTATATGCTGAAATTAAAATTGTTGGTTTAAATTTTATAATTATTTTATTATACAAATAATAACAAATCTAAAATATTTTGTAATACGATCTAATTTAAAATGTATTATTGAGAACTGTAAGAAAGATAATAAATTACATGATTTATAATGCAAAAATTAAAAAATAAAATAAAAATTTGGTTAGAACTTATTAGAATGCATACTAATTTTCAAAAATACACTTTAATTTTTCAAAATTTTAATTTTTTAGATTTCTAGAATAAATTTAGTGAAAGAGATTATTAATAGAAAGAGAAAGATTTCAAATGGAATAAATTTCTTTAAAAAAAAATAAATTTTTAGATTTATAGAATAAATTTAGTAAAAAAGATTGTTAATAGAAAGAGAGAGATTTAAAAAATAATAATTTTTTTTAAAAAAAATTTATTTTCTGCTTATTTTTATTGTCAACAAAAATAAAATAAAATGTATCCAAGGCGGAATCAAACTTAAGACATGAAGGCTCTACCGTGGATGTGATAACCACTCCGTCGCATCAGCACAAGTGTAATTGTTTCTACATTAATAGTACTTATCTAAATTCCGTCGTAATATAACTCACCGTGGGAATTATCCCACATCTAACAGAGAGTTTTAGTTTTGCGTCTATAAATTGGTTTGTAAGTTTCTAAAGGTTTGTGCGCATGTGCCCGATGCTGCAATCCACGCACGGCCGGTGGGTGACGGTAGTCTTCCACGCGTGGACTATGGAGAATCGATGTTTTGGCACGTGTGGACTATGGAGAATCGGTGTTTTGGCACGTGTTAACTCGCTATGTGACGTCATACATACATGCGATTTTCATCGCCCCTGTATGACGTCATACGAGAGATTTTCATCCTTCTATTATGTCATACGGGCGATTGTATGATGTCATACAGGTGATTTTCACCCTTGTACATACAGGCGATTTTCACCCACCCATGTATGTGACATCATACAGGCGATTTTCACCCACCCTTGTATGATGTCATACGGGCGATTTTCACCCTTGTATAATGTCATACAAGCGGTTCATTGCGGTTCACTATAAAGGGAGCGGTTCACTGTAAAGGGCGGGCAATTTTCACCCTTGTATGTGACATCATACAAGCGATTTTCACCCACCCTTGTAGGTGACATCAGGCAGGCGATTTTCACCCACCCTTGTATGATGTCATATAGGCAATTTTCACCCTTGTATGATGTCATATGGGCGATTTTCACCCTTGTATGATGTCATACAAGTGGTTCACTGTAACACCCACTCTTGTATGATGTCATATAGGCAATTTTCACCCTTGTATGATGGCATACAAGCAGTTCACTGTAAAGGGCAGTTCCCGGTTTTACACTGGAATCGGCACGAGGTAACCGATTCCCATGTCGACTCGCTATGTGACGTTATACGAGCTATTTTCACCCTTGTATGATGTCATACGGGTGATTTTCACCCTTGTATGATGTCATACAAGCAATTCACTGTAAAAGGAGGTTCCCAGTTTTACAAGCGATTCACTGAAAAAGGCGGTTCCCGGTTTTACATTGGAATCGTCATACAGGCGGTTCACTGTAAAGGGGGTTCCCGATTTTACACTGGAATCGGCACGAGGTAACCGATTCCCGTGCGAGTTCGTTGCGACTCGCCGATTTTTAAATCACTGGTTTATAATGATCAAGAAGCGTAGTGAAACCTATTCTACCATAGGATATGAGCAAAAATAAAGCAAATTCCAGTCGCTGTATACTCCAATGAGGAGGGAAGCTATGGACTATGGATCATTATCTTTTTGAGGTCCCCCTTGTGAAAGGAAAGTATATGTTATGTGAAAAGAAAGTATATGTTATCTGGAGTGTGAAAGGAAAATATATATTATGTACCAAGTTAATATGGAAGGTATATATTGTAATCAGTTTATATTGGATAGGTACAATACCTTTATTTTATAGTAAGTCTCGGTATAGTTTTAGGTGTCTGTGATTTATTTCTATTTTTTTATCATCTGTAATTTATATATAAAAGACAAGTTTGTAGATTCATATGAATTTTTTTCTCATTTGTAATTTGTATATAAAAGACAAGTCTGCATATTATATGATGGGTGTGGTTCCATACGGTTGCAACCGTAAACAATCCCACTACGGAGCACCTTCAAATTTTATCATAATATATAATTTTGATGTAAATTGTTCTTGAGATTATCTCAAACTCTATTTTTATATGTAATTATAAAATTTTAAATTTCAAAAATAGTTAAAATCAAGTCAATCTATAAACATATGAAAATCTTGAAAATAGATGGTGTAGATAATATGTTGTAAGATGCTCGATTTTTTAGACTCAAAATCTTTTTAATTTCATAGTCATACATCTCGATTTCGAGATGATCAATCACATGGTTTTCAACATTAAAACAACCTTTTCCGATGGATTCTTGACATGCGTTTTACATTATAAGATTACAACCTTATAGAAACTTTTTTCTTATATGATTAATAGACACTAAGTTTCTTTAGAGAAACCTACAGAGTGATTAATGGAAGTAGATAGCCATTTCTTAATGAGAGGGTATTGGTAGAAGTGAAGAGCCCCATCAAGGTACAAAAGTCGGAGGTGAACCCAGTTGAAGTTGGAGTACAATTTGCTGTAGGAGCACAACATGGATAAGTTGTAGGGAGAGGAAAATATAATGATAATGGCTACACACAAGGGCACCTGAGACAAAGCACAAGTAGTAGGGTAGGGGCAGGCATGAGGGGTCGATTGGCCTAAGGACTTTGACTTTGGGTTAGGACGAGCAATCAAATTTTCTATCTGATGGACTTATTCCTAAACTGATAACTGATATACTCAAGATGATGATGATTGGGTTCTTGGAGCTTGGGATGAATTTGAGCCTCTTCATCATTCATATTGTTTCAGATTGTGTACTTTTAACATTCATTACTCATATGGGGATTACTTTTGAAAAATTGACATTATTCACTTCCTTTTTTTTTGTGGATTTCGATCCCGAAGAATCCATTAACAAACCCTAGATTTGAACTAACCCCACCCACAATTTTTCTCATGAGAATACCTAGGTCTGAACTAGAGCACCAAGACTCCTGTAGAAGTCCTACTGCATTGAAACCCTGACCTAAACTCCCCTTCCAACCATGGAGGTGCATCCTCAACTGCCTGCTGGTTCTACCATCGATGAGAGAGAGTCGGAGACTGAGAGGGAAGGAGGAGTAAGAGTGAGGAGGCGATTAGGGTTTGAGAGAACGCAGGGTTTGGAGCTTTCGGTGAAAGTCATAGAGGAGAAGGGGCAGTTTTCAGTCGGAGAGAGAGAGAGGAGGGGTTAAGGGGAGAGAGAGACGTCAAATGAGGAGTTGGGAGCATTTCCTCCATTTGACGTCAAAATTTCATGTGAAAATCGATTCCTAGAATCGATTTGTTGATAAAATTTTAGCTCAATTTTAGAATTCAAGAACGGATATGCACTCTTAGCCATCCGATTAATATTGTCGAAAAAATATTATTTCTGGAAAATGCTTCAAACCATTTGGAGTTAGGATGTTGCAAACCGAGGGAGTTACAAAACGATTGTGCGCCTGATGGCTCAAAAACACCCATCAAACAAATGGAGGCATCTTGGTCATCTTTTTATTTTTTGGTGAACCTACGTTAAACATACCTCTCTACAAACTTTCATGATAAAATAATTTATAGCAGAAACAAAAATGAAATAGCATTTCGATCATCCAAATCTGAGAGCTGAATATGACAACTTCCATATACAAAGATAATTCAGCAAGTGAAATAAACTGCAGGCAATCACAGCCATATCCAATAAATTGGGATGAATGAAACTACAAATTTACAGATTCCAAATGTTTCCTATGAAATTGCAACAACAACAACAAAAAAAAAAAAGAGGAACGCAAAGGCCAAATAATTTTACCCAAATCAAGAAAAAAAATCAAATGGAAAGAAAGTATTACCAACACCAAATTAAGACAATTGAAAGAGCTTCGAAGTTTAATCACCTCCCGTGCATGAAAGACGTTGAAATATCATTAACAGAGTCCATAGAGACATGGCTCTCTGGTAAACTATGGGAAACCTTGACACCTGAAGACGTACCAAAACTAGGCTTATCACCCATAGAACTAGTGAACCCATGCTTAGTGGTTTTATCACCCATAGAACTAGTGAACCTTCCTATTCGACCTTGAAGACCTGGTTTTCCAGGCTTTGGCAATTCTTCAAAATGACCAGAAAGCATCAAAAGAACAGAAGACATTGTAGGTCTATCATTTACATTTGATTGACAACATAGCAATCCGATTTGAATGGAACGGGAGATCTCCTCGGATGCGAAGGAACCGAGATTTGGATCTGCAAGCTCCAAAGCTCTGCCTTCTCCCCATAGGTTCCATGACTGACAAACACAAAAGAGCAGCTCAAATTAGTGGCAAGATGTCATTTTTAATATATATTGATTTTGGAAATGGGCCATGAAAAGAATCTCTCTCTATATTTGTGAGTGTGAAAATACTTTCGTTAACCCAATTGCTAATGGAACTGTATTAGCCCAATGGCCCAAATTCAATCTTGACAGATGCGACGATAGACGCACATGGATTCTGTTTGATTTTTTATAAATCCATTAGACCAGAAAGTTTGGCGACAAGTGCACCTCACCAAGAGAAACCATAAAATATGGTACACAAAATTTAAAATGACCAAAAGACCCCACCCTTATAAGGGTGGGGGTAATTTGGTCATTTCATATTTGTGTATTATTTTTTGGATATTTTGTTATGGTTTGCCTGGTGAGGCACATCATCATCATCATCATCTTTATCAGCAAGCATTTAAACTGAAATTTGAGGCACATATGCCCCCAAAATTCCAAATCCATTAGATTAATATATATATATATATATATATTCAAGCACTGAGGCACCATGTAAATTGGCCTAGATTCAATCTGGGATATCGTGCCAACCGTTTTGTAAACCCTTTGGTCATCAAAAGTTACTTGTGTGTTGTGTGTGTGCATGTGTGTGTGTGTGTATAAATGGAAAAATCTACCAATAGGTTGTCATCGAAAATGAATAGTAGTTTAGGTTATACTCTCAACTGTCAAATCTTGAATGGATGATTGAAAATGCATGTTACTACCAATTTTAATATTTTTTACACATTGAATCAAGATAAAATTTTGGGCATGTGTACTACATGATAGGTTTTGTGGTGTGTGATGGAACCAAATATACAACTAAAATTTCAGCTTAATCCAATTTGTAGAAAAAAGATTAAAACTCAAATAGTAGCATCCACTTTCAACCAGCCAATCGAGACCTGATGGCTAGGAGTATAAACTAAACTATTATTCATTTTAGGTGACAACCTACTGATATATATATATATATATATATATACACACACACACACACACACACACAAGTAAGTA